CATAAAACAATATGTGTACTGACTGTTTAATGAGAAACTATTTGTTCTGTAAACCTTCATCTAAAGTACAATAAAAAAATTTTTTTAAAAAGAAAGGCTTTTATATATAGTTTTTCACCTACTCCATTTTACAGTTTAAAAGGATCTTAGAAACTAATTCCTTCATATTGTAGTTAACAAAATTGTGGATTAAAAATGGCTTTCTTCTAAAATAGTCACTAAAGATTAGTGTCAGCAATCAAAACTTCACAGGTACATTTTAAATAACACCAGGATCAACTCTGAACAGTTTTTGAATATAGTAAGGTTTTCATGGAGAGTGTCAGTATTAAGTTCAAATTAATGAAATTCACAGAAAAAGTTACTCACAAGGATTGAACAAGATGATTTCCAAGATCCTTTCTAGTTTCAAAATTCTATGACTCTGCAAATCATTTTAACTATCCCATATTTTTAAATCTTCTAGTCTTTCTTTCCCGCTATCCTTTTTAAATGACTTCAGTCAATAAAATATTGTAAACAGACGCCTAAATGTTTGACACAATTTATCTTACTAAAAAAGTAAATCAATTTCAGAATCTCAGACAAAACAGTCAATCTACTGAACACAGAATTCATGTACAACTTACACAAAAACATGCAGGTTAAAAAGAACCCCAAAGGACTCCTTAAACAAACTATTATCATTCGTACAAATAAATTATCTATTATAATTTTCCACAAGTAATTTACAACTTGCCAAAAACTGTTTTTTAGTGCCAAACTACATTCACCACAAAACTGTAGAAGTTTACACTATGACTGTATTCAAATTTTCAGTAGCACAACTCTAGTGATTAAAACATTTACTAACAAAGCTTTACTTTTATGTGAAAATAAACATTGCTTAAGATTACATACATATGTTTATAGTCAAGACATGAAGAAACAAGTAAAGGACAGTGGCAAGATCAAGGAAAGGTCTGAGCCTTTCTGTGGTTACCGCTGCTCAGAAAAAGGAATCGTGGGTAAGGAGAAAAGGAACAACATTTAAAATAAAGTCTCTTAACTACAAAATTCATCAGACAAACAAGGAGCCCTCAGTGTAATGGAATTTATGAAAGTAGTTGCTTCTAAGGTGTAGCAATAAAGATATTGCTCCAAAACAGCAAACCTTCGGACTAATGAAGTACAAAATCACCTATAAAGTCCATTTTTAATACAAGAGAATTAAGAACAAAATGCATTCTTATTACAGACTTAGCTCCCTGAACATATTTTTTTTTAAATAACCTCTTTTCCAACAAAAATAATATAACTACATCTTAAAAAAACTAGAAAATATAAAGAAACTAAAACTGCCTACAAGCCTATTGTCCCTGGATCAATACTGTAACATTTCTTTATAACTTTCCAATTTTTTAATGTATAGGTATCTATTATGTATATACCACTGCTTCCAATTCATCTATATCATTCTAGTTCTTCCACTTTATACTTGTGAACTGAAAAGAGAAATCTTTAAAACCAAGTGTACACTTTTCAAATTTACCACTTAAGGGCTTAAGAAATACAAAAAAAATAAATTATTGTGCAGTATGTTTAGAGACATTACCACAAGTCAAAATTCTGGTCTTAACCCTACCTAAAACTGCCAGCTTTCAAATCATTAAAATTCAGTAAGTAAGATATTTTTGTCATTAAAAGATAATGAAAGTTTAATCACTCCTTGATTTGGAGGCCCTAATTATACTATATAGTATGGTTCAACGGTATCAAATTAATAGAACTATCTGGAGAATGATGAATAATTAAGCAATGATTATACATTAAAACAGTAAAGCACTTACACATATCCACAAAGTTTATTTATTTCTATTCACAGAGGACTTAAACATATCACAAAGTATCTAAGACTCATTACCAGATACTCACTCATTTTCAGTATTTAACAACCAATTAAGTCCCCTTAAAATGAAGTTATTCTCGCTGTAGGTGTGTTCTGTTGTACTGAAGATAGCTAGGGAAGCAGGCCAAAAGTGAAAACCTAAGGTAGAAAAGAGGACAGCTCCTTCCCAGGATAAAGAGAGGAAAAAATAAAAAGTATCAATCTGCCTATGAGCAATCACATGCTTTTTGTCTTTCTTACCCTTGTCCACGTTTCCTGTCTGTTAACTTCAAGCCTCTAAGTCTCAATGATGATCCGAAGCACATTACCTCTCCACTCCCCTTTCTACAGTGCTCCCTCTGCCTTTTGTCACAGTCAGGGCTAGATATGATTTCTGTATTACAGAAAGGTACTCTGATACTTGAGGGTTCAGAGAAAAAAAGCTGCTGCGAATAATTTAGACAGTGAATTTCAATGAAATCAGATTAAAGTTGACTAGCTAAATGATTGAGAAGAAGATACTATAAGACTGCCATACTAAAGTTAACTGGGATTTCATCAGTATAAAATACTATTAGTACAAATCTTAGACTTGTTAAAAGGTTAATATTAACAAAGCAATGCTTATTTATCCAAGAGCATAAAGAATTAAGTTAATATCTAACAATTTTCTAAATGCAGCAAGCAAACATTTTTAATGAAATTTTCATTTAAATTTTTCTAAAAGAATTCTTTCTAAGGCAATTACTATGTCATGTTTTAATAAAGTGACCATTTGGAGGCTACTTAAAACATAAGGGGCTTTTCAGCCTTTGATAAAGTGGTGCCCAATCCCAGCGCTTTCTGATTTATGTCAGCTTCCTAGTTTCTCTTTGTCATCGTTTGTTGGTGCCTACCACTCAGGAGTGTTAGCAATCTGAATACCACACTAACAGGTCATCCTAGACTGATCATTTTCATTTGCAACAAGTTAGAAACCAAATAACAAAATATATTAACTCCGTATCAAAAAAAATAAAATAAAATGAAAACACACTGCAGGCCTCTGTTAGTAGTCAAGCTCATGAATTTTACTGCTCGGATCAAGGCGTCAGAAAATCTAAGTTCTAACAGTCCAAGCTTTACCTCTTCAACTAAATGTGGGCTAATCCCTTCATCTACTTTGGTCTCAGTCTTCTCATCTGCAAAAGGGGCTACTATTCCTTATTCTGCCTAACTCATATGATTGTCCTAATGTTCAAATAAGATAATGCATATAAATGTACCGTGTAAATGTTGCAGATTACATTATAAGGTAAAGTGGCAAGAGTATTTTCCTCATTATCATAAAAATAGCAACCATTTGTTTTGGCCAATCATCCTAGATGATTGTTATCTAAATTCTACCAAATTAAAATTACCAGATAAGTTATCTCTTAAAAACAGAGATTTATAACTAA